CTAAAATAGATCGGGACATCAACAAGTAACAAATTCTCCCGCAAAGGAAACGCATCCTTAATCTATTAGGCAAGCGCCATCCCATCTGTCCTTCCGGTTAGCCGTACGTGTGCACTTTCTAGCAAGACTCTGGCTGCTGTGTTCTCCTTCCACCCTGGCAACAGTTCACTCTGTCAAGGCGCCCAAGGCTTTGCAACTGGCCACCCTTCCTCACTGCCTCAGGGACCAGGGCTGCCACAACAAATGCCACGTCACAAGCGGGCACATTGTTCACAGTTGGCGAGATGAGAAGCCTGAATCCAGGATGCCAGTGCAGGGGGGCGGCTTCCTCTCCATCAGCTCTGTCAGCTCTCAGGGAAGGGCCTTGCTCTTTGGCTTCTACTGCCTGGCTCCTCGGAGAGCAGCTCCATGTGGCCCGGCAGCAATCTTCCCCGCCTCAGTTTCTTTCTCTTTCTCTCAAAGATTCATTCCAAATATACCCTACACTAATTTGCCTTATTAACATAATAAAGACAGCTCATTCCCAAGCAAGCTTATCACAGCAGGCCTAGACAACATCAAAGTCGTGCCCACTGGTCCATTCTGACTCAGTGACCCCACAGGGCAGAGCAGAACTGCCCCTCCGGGTTTCTGAGACAGGAAATCTTTAAGGGCAGCTGGTAAGTTTTGAACTGCTGACTTTGTGGTTAGCACCCGAACGAGTAACCTCCATCCTTACAGGCATATGTTAGGATCTATAACACATTGGGGGGTGGGGCACACAATTCAATCTATAACATTTTACCTGTGCCCGCCCCACCCCAAACATGTCATTGCCATGTGCAAAGCCATTTACCCCATAACATCTACAAAGTCAACTCCAAGCCTCCTAAATAAGCTAAATCAAATAAATACGAGTGGGACTTTAGGTATATTCTATCCTAGCTCAATACTCCTCTGTAACTGTGAATACATGAAATCAAGACACAAGTTATGTGTTTCCAGAGGACAACGTGAAGCAGCACAAAGTGGCCATTTCACCTACAAATGGGAGAGATGAGAGAGAGAAGGAACGATGGGTGCCAAGCAAGTCTCAAACACAGCAGAACATGGTCACACTTGACAGTAACATCCTGTCCTTGGAGACCACCTGGGCAGCAGCTTTGTCCTCTGACTCTGGGTGTTGGCCGCACCTTCTGGGTTCTGGATAGAAGGGGCCTTGGCCCTGGACTTCAGTTTCTCAGCCTATCAGGTCCAAAGGGGCAGCGACTCGGCTCCCTCGGCTTTGGGTGGCC